AACTTTTTGCATTTCGTAAATATGATAGTGACCAATCTGTTGTATTTCAAAAAATGGTAACATGTTCCAATTAAATAAATAAAAAGAGAATAGTAAATAACTTAGTGTGTATTGCAGTTCATGTCATAAATGCGAGAATGCTGTATGCAAATGATATGCAAATTAATATGCAAATTTATGCTAATTAGGCGCCCACCAGCTAATTTGGATTGTGGAGAACACTATCAGTATGCATTTAAAGGGCGGTAGTCGCGCCACACATGCGCAAGATATTGGTCTTGTATAAACAAAAACTTATAAACTCAAACTATACTGTGCAGACTAACTAGTACAAACTGAAGTTACCAAGCGTTAATTATTAGTGCAAGTGGCACCCAGTTCAAAACTCTTACTCACGATTTCATTAGAAAAGCACATTGGATTGTTGGAAAATCAATGTTTGTCAACACAAATGTCGCATGTGTGGTGCGACGACCACAACATTTAATAACTTTGGTGTATCTGAATTAATATTAAAACATCAGGATAACCTGTTTTTGGTAATGTGCATCATGGGAAAACTGGATTTTGTTCTTGTGTGCTATAATAGATTTATCTGGACTGCATGCTGTCCATGGAACAGCACTGTCTAGATCTGACAAAAAACCAAAGTATTGTGCAAGGTTGCAAGTCATTTTCCCAACTGACTGTCCAAATCATTCAAGCCTCTGTAACCTTATATTCAGTGGAGTGTCTAGGAGAAGTCTCCTTTCATGTTGATGGAAATAATACAACTACACTCTACATTGACTGACAAACAAAAAGAAAAACCCATTTTCTTGCATGGTTACAACACCGTTGGGACCTTGTGCAATAATACCTATGAAGCACAAAAATTAGAAAGCACTGCGACAGACTAGACATGGCAGTAAATACACTCTGAATGAAGTCAAAGTTATTCTACAGCAGTTAACAAAAATTAACTGCAACATGAACTGCTCAAAGAATGTAGCAATATTTTGTTCAGTAACTTGGTTGTTATTTCATACAAGCTAGTAACCTTTTTCAAACATTTTCCTTACTTTTGATCAAGACCTATGAAAACTAAAACAGGTTCATCTAGTCAAAAATTAAGAAAATTACAACAAATATAAAATTTTGCAATCAAAAATTGTGATGTTAAAATTATTGCAAGTCCAGAACAAAAGGAACTCATTACCAGACATTAAAAAAAAAGTCCACCTCAGTCCAATGATAGAATCGTTCTGTTTTTCCACTACTTAAAATCAGTACTCACCTTCGGAATATAACTTTAGCTAATTCTAACATTTCCCAGGCCAGTTGAAAATTTGACACATCCTCAGTTTCCTGAAAATTCAAGAATACAATGTAAATCATTTCTGTCAAATATTAACACACCAGCACTGTGGCAAAACAATTTAACTCTTGTATTCATAGCCTAGTTTGGCAAACTCACTGGTCTGGCAGACCATTGCCTTACAAATTAGTCTATTGGTATGTACAGCTAATTTTACTCCTACACATATTGAAACCAGTGGTACAAAGTTGTAACGGACAGTTTTGAAGTGAAAATAGTTTATGCTGTCTACTTGAACTGGAATTTGACAAACAAGGGGTTCTAGAAATCTTACCGATTCATTTTCTGTTTTTTCTCCAGCTGGACCCGCTTCATCTTCAGCAGCACTATCATCTTCCTCAGCACCTTCCTCCATACTTTCCTCTTCCTCGTCTTTTTCCTCTTTCTTCTCAGCCACTTCCTTCTCATCTTTCTTCTCAGCCACTTCCTTCTCATCTTTCTTCTCAGCCACTTCCTTCTCATCTTTCTTCTCAGCCACTTCCTTCTCATCTTTCTTCTCAGCCACTTCCTTCTCATCTTTCTTCTCAGCCACTTCCTTCTCATCTTTCTTCTCAGCCACTTCCTTCTCATCTTTCTTCTCAGCCACTTCCTTCTCATCTTTCTTCTCAGCCACTTCCTTCTCATCTTTCTTCTCAGCCACTTCTTTCTCGTCTTTCTTCTCAACCACTTCTTTCTCATCTTTCTTCTCAGCCACATCTTTTTTCTCCGCCACTTCCTTCTCATCTTTTTCCCCAGCCACTTCTTTCTCATCTTTCTTCTCAGCTACATCTTTTTTCTCAGTCACTTCCTTCTCTTCGTCTTTCTTTTCTCATCTTTCTTTTCAGTGACATCTTTTTCTATATCAGTTTTCTCTGCAACATCTTTTTTCTCTGGTTCACTTTTACCAGGTTTGTCTTCTGTTGTAAAAAGTGAATAATTTAGTATGGGTATCCAACACATACAATACTTCATGTTTGGCATGCAATCCATCTTTCAGTACTTTCCCATTATATTGTACAGAAAAAACCCACACTATTTCATTACTGCACTGAATATTCTATGATTAGGCACACAAAGTACAAAAGGTAAAGTTTTTTAGTCTCAAATTAACTGAAAACACTGAAGAACAAAAACATAGTATTTAGCCAAAGGATTGGTCCAATTACATTAGAATCCGATAGGGTTGAGACAAATGATATTTTTGAACCATTTGAAAGTAATCCTTAAATTTATACACCTCGAGTGTGAAAGTTGCCCTGACCTACCAAGAGTATGATGCATTATACCAGAGTGCATTCTCACACACCCCTGTCCCCCACCTCAAGGAGCCCATTTTGACCTCGCATTGTTCGTGCTATCTCTCTCATTCAGTTGGCTTAATAACATTTTACTGTTACCAGTGTTCTCCCCAGGCCTCTGAAGCAACACTGTACCGTGACGCTTGGACACTCGGTCGTGATGCTTGCCCTTTGTCCGTGACGCTTGGTCACTCGCCCGTGATGCTTATGTTTACAAGTGTCAGTCTCGTCTTGCACGTATTTAAAACAATAACATGTATTGATCGATTTAGGTAATCCCGCTTTTGTTAGCCATACAAAGACAGTGATAAAAACGGAAGTCTGCAATATGTTGCGAAGTCTTTCAAAGGTGCAGAGCCTCCAAATCAAAAAAAAAAATAACTAGAGTAGCAAGAATTTGCCCATTGCACGCAACGGCAACAATGTGACAAAACAAGTCACGGCGTACGTTGGGAAGATCAACCCTATTTTTGCTGCACTCTGATTTGTTACATTAATTACCCCAAAATTAAAAAAAAAAAAAAGTGAAATTATGTCGCATTGGAAAGAAAAGTATGAATAATTCAACAGCAGACGAGACGGGTTGAGAAAAAACAAACTGACCTCTGGAAATACCCCATTCATAGGGTGCCTTAGTACAGAAAAACGCCGCCCTAAGGCGACATAATGCACGTTGCAACCGGTGCATGCTGGGTTACCAGGGGTTCTGACCGAGGTAACAAAGATGGCGGCGTAGAATGCACGATTTTCCGCGATGTTTAAAAACATCTCGTTGGCAATTTTGATGTAATGCCTATGATAATCGTCAATGAATCGTTTTAATAAACAATTTGTGATCGTAGCCTTGCTACATTTTAATTTTGTTGTTGTTGACCTGTCAATCACGCCTTTGATAATTACCGAGTTGTTGCCAACATTTTGAACAGATGAAGTAAATTTCAAAACAAACTGCCTGACCAATTGTAACGACTTATCAACATCTGACTGCAATTCTTCGTGTAATCAAGGGGTGAAAGGGGTGTAATTAATTGTAGATTGACAATATTTGTTGGGAAAAACTGATTACTATGCAAATAAAAATTATGCAAAGTAGATGCATTGTTATGCAAATTGGCCGTGATGTTTGACATGAAGTCTGGGGAGAACACTGGTTACTGATGCAAGATTTACAGGAATGCAACTACAAGTAGATTAGAAAGCAGTTATTGTGTTAGATTATTTTTAGAAGCAGCAGTGCAACACATTTCTCTATTGCACGTTACCAAGACAATCGCCAAAATGCAATTTAATTCACCTTTGTCTGCTTTTTCTCCTTCAGTTTTTCCCTCTGAATCATCTTTCTTTGCTTCATCCTCTTTCTCAGATTTTTCTTTTTCAGACTTCTCATCAGTTTTTGATTCCGACTGTTCACCATCTTTTTTTGGTTCTTTTGATTCAGTCATTGCATCTATTACATCATCACTTATCTTGTCTCTTTCCTCACCTAAAGGAATTTAACGAACGACAACGATGACGTTTAAGCCAAAATAAAGAAACACTAACCAAAATAGAATTTTCAAATATCCAAATTGCAATCACCAGTTCATTATTCTAATGAACGAGACCAGAAGTGCTGAAGTATACAAATACCACGTTTATCACAGGTCCTTTGCCAAAAACAATGATCTTCTTGAAACATTGGCTCAGCCAGTAACAAAGCAATCTTATCTAATACAGATATTTTTTTTAAATAGTAATACATTAATACAGAACCAGCAAACAATTGTTGAACCTACATGCATAGCAATGTCAATTGCAAAATTATGAAGGTTGGCAGAACAAGTGCAAGTGGGGGTTGCGTTATATGTGCGTGCGTGTGCGTGCGTTAGCAAGCAGGTTGCAAGTGAGTAAGTGAAAAAGAGCAAGTCATTATTCTTTACTGAAATTTGTTTGATAGACTATGTATTTTGGAAAATACAATTGATCAAATGTGTAGCAACTTTAAAGTTTCAAAAATTGAGTTTTTCAATTAAAAAAAAAAAGCCCTATTGCCTTTCGTTCGTACAGTTCTTTGATTTTTGCAACTTGAGCACTCAACCTTTGCCATGGGTAAAAAAGGTCAAATAATCTGAAAAAGCACCTAGAGTTTTGATCAATTAAATTTCGTTTTACCAAAATGCTGGGCAGAACACAGCATTGCCTTTATTGTGCCATTATATTTACAAACAAGACTTGCCTTGCACATCGTCTGGTTTTTCAACTTTACCATCATCACTCTCCTCTGCTTCATCTTCCTCGGGCACACCTTGTAAAGCATTGCCCAGTACTCCCGTTTCCATCCTAGCCAGTTCTAATAAGGCTTTACCATATTCAAAATATACCTCTCCACATTCATTGGCAGCCTCGCCATACTTCACACCTCTACAAAATAAAGCATTTGTATAAGATACATTTTCAATTTGTACATAAAATAACCATCTTAAATATACCGGTATTTCAGGTTACACAGTGTGATGCAGCTCAAACAAGCATTAATTGTGAACAGTAAGTACACATGAAGTCAAAACAAAAGTTTAAAGTTGATAGTTAACCCACTTCTGTAATATTTTTATCAGGTGGCTGAGTAAGATTATCATTATAATTTCTAAAATATATATGATGACTTTATTTTTTGGTTATACATCTTGTCAGACAACAAATTTATAGCACCAATTGTATGTACCTATCTGCAACAATTTAATAAATATTAGTTATGCATATTATCAAGGTTATACGACCATATAGTCATCTGATGCGTTAGTCCTATCATGTTGTCAGATACACTCATTATAGCACGGGTTGCATGTCACTATCTGCAGCAGTGTTCAGTACGTTACAGTTTTGCATATTAAAATGTACACATGAAACTAATAACAGGTAATATGCTTGGATTTTAACCCAGAAGTAACCAGATCTGTGGATTATTCAAATGCACTTATGTTCCTAAGTTTTTTTTTAAATTTGATCAGTGGCAAAGCACCTATAAATAGGTTAATTTATGCATATAAAGTAATTAGTAAGCACAAATATTAACCTTAAACAGAACATGTATATGGCTTATCCTAAGCATCTGTGTATGAAGTTTCATTGAATCTGTTCGAGATATTTGCGGAAAAGTTAAATACTGGGTAATTACTCTACAAATTAGCTCATTAAAATGCAGCATTGTCTGGAAACAATGAGTGCATATCTATTCTTGTGGTATGAATACAATAGATTAGGCAAGTATTATTCATTTTGTAGTTTATTAGGAAATGTGTGGACTTTACATTCTGAACTTACAAGTTCTTAAAATTTACATAGATACTACACTCTATTAATAGACACTTTGACATGCTATTGAAAGAACTGCATGTTATCGAAGATTGAAATTACTTGTTTGAGAGATTGTTACAAATGAATTACCGCAACACCCAATATGTGATACTTACAGCAATTCAGAAGCCTCCTGCAAACAGTTCACAGCTGCGGGTATGTCTCCAATAGCCATATTACGTTTGCCTTGACCAATCAATTGTACCGCTTCTGTATCAATGTCAGTGCTGCAAAGAAAATCTCCCAAATCAAAATATTTTTCTGGCAAGACAAATTAATTACATTATGTTGCACTTTGATAAATATTAAAAATAAAGTTATTTTTTTTCCCGTTTTTTATGAACAAACAATTGTGCCTATTATGCACAAAAGTAGTTTAGTTTTGTGTGGATTCAAAATATTTAAAAGGGTAAACAAATACAATTTGAACTTTGATTTAGATATATTTGTCCATATCACAATGATATAAAACTGAAGTTCAAATGACAATTACTTTGTGGTCATGGACCAAGTGTGGAAACAAAGACAATCTTCAACAAATAAAATACAGAATTAATTTGACATAACAGTCAGTAAAAAGAAAATCAGGAAGTTTGACAAAATTAATGATTAATCAGCTGTGTAGTCTTATCCATTACATCTCATTTCCTGGATGTGGGTCAAAGTGAAACTAACTTTAAACTTGGAATAGTTAAAAATGCTTAGTGCCAACCGTTAACAGTTATTTGACACAAGCACAAATGTGTCAATTGACAATGAAAACAAAGGCATTTAAATGCAAGGCTGGCCACAAGAAAGAAATGAATCCCAATTCCAGCGTTATAGAAACACCCCTAAATAAAATTACAATTCATATCAGTTTTCATTTTAACTGGAGGAGGGGGTTATTTCTGGGGGAAAAAACTATGGGATGACTTTTTCTTTGTCCATCTCGATTCGTCCTTGAAATATTAGCTAGGCTAATGTTAGCTAGGCAAATAAATCTCCCGCGAAATTGCACGTTACACAAGTAAACCGGGTGCGACAAAACATTATGACAACGGAAGGTATTCGCAGCACAAATACAAATGCTAAGCGCAACAAGTGAATATGAATATGCTATTTTTCGGTAAAACAGACATTTCGATTTGCTTTTACTGATACCAAATGTTCATGCCAAACAAAAAGCTCCAAATCAGCAATATTTTAAACAATAACACAACAGCACTTCCGGATAAAAATATCCACATTGTGCAATGCAACTGGTACTGTCTGAAATTACGTACCTGGATTTTGGTGGGGCTGGATCTGTAGAAGTGGACGCCATGGTGATGGGAGAGGAAAACTGAACTGGAAACTGAGAAAGCAGAAAAAGAAGTGTCTCCGGCTTGACAGCTGAAGTGAACAACGTGCGTATTCGCGCCTTTTGTGTCTTCGAAAGACCGGCTGTTATAATTAGTACCACGCACCCTACTAGGTTAGGTAATTTAGGGCAGATTATTCATATATTCAGAATCGTTTAAATATATATATATATATACATATATATATACAATCGTTGTAACGTTCTATGGCTTCGTTATTTTATATTCCTTATAATATATTTAATAAAACGCAATAAACAAAACTGTGTTAGACTATTTAAAAAAAATCGTGGGAGGGCTGATTGTAAATCAAATGGCCACAGCTTATGCAAAGATAAATACACTCGAGGCTCGTGACCTCTAGTCAAAAATGTTTTTTTTCAGCAATGTCACATTTACAAATTTAGCTGAAAATAAAAATAAAGTACATGTGAATGAAATTCCCTGAGAATAATCTCAATTATAAGTGTCTGAAATTCTAAAGTTCACCGTAGGAAACCCCGGCAGTGACGTCACGAGTCGGCCATTTTGTTCCTCGTGAGTGAAAAGTTACGAAGTTGGGCTCATGTGTATTTGTAAGTATTTGATATTTGTCTTAGTAGCCACCGATTTTGTGGCATTATTTGATAATTTATCTATTGTGGTCGGTACTGTGTGCTATTGTCGGGTTGTAATGTTGCTTGAACCATTCAGATCATGGTTAAATTGTTGGATATTATAAGAATCTCGCCAAGACACTTCGCTGTTTGCATTCCTGTCCTACATCATGGTTATGCTGCCACTGAATGTTAGTGTTTCGCGTGCGTTACTATCGTAGTTTGTTTTAACTTCTGTTATCGCAGTGATTGTATAATACTAGCGTGTTATCTAGGTTAATATCTAACATAACCATGATGTGAAAGGCATAATCAACGTTTTGTGTGATTATACCGAGTGATGGCGTACTGACTACCACTGGCATCATGACAACAAGCACACACAAGAAAGCTTGCCCATTCACTCAGTCACAACGTACACGTATTTGTGTGCACAAGAGGAGCAATTAGTTTAGTGAGGAGATCCTTGCCAAATATTGACTCTTAATATCTCCTGTTCACTTCTCGATCCCTATTTTGTTTACATTCTAAAAATATTGTCCAGTTGCTATATTATATTCACATTTGAGGCAGTTATAGGTATTTCAATGGAAACATGAATTATATCTCGATGCTTTTCATCGAAAGAATAGTTAAAATGAAGTCTGGCTGTATGAATATTGTTTTGATTCCACAAACACCCAAGTGCAATATTTCCGGAGGACATAGTTAGGATGTAGAAATTAGGTTTAGTCATTTCCTGGTTATTGCTGTATATTGCAAATTTTAAAGTGTTTATGAACAATGGCTATTTTGGAGAAATATCTGTGCTATCATGAGCCAGCACAGAGGTCTATTTCTTCAAATGTATTCCTGCCACCATTACCTTTTGCTCGTCATTGATTTGTCAATGTATCACAGTAGAATACTTTTAGAAAGTCCACAAAAACATTTTCCATGCTGGTGTTAGATTTTCGTTTCAGATGATATAGATTCTGTTTTCAAAGTGTTTTCGTTTGTTTATATTTCTTTGCCAAGTAATCAATTTGACAGTCAGCTTGAAGAATCAAGCAACACCTTAGTCACCACATTATTCTGTGATGAAATTTTGTAAATTAATATATCACTCTTAGAGTTTAAAAAAAAATTATCTGCTATCGATAAAACATTTTAAAACCTATTACCAGCAGGAAGTCACCACACCACAAAATAAGTTGCATTTACCAAATCTTGACTGACTTAACTTCATTCAGCATGTGAAACAGATTCAACGCGAGCTTTGCAGACAATAACAATGTCAACCCCCATCTATGTGACTTCGTTGTTGCTATTCAGTGATTTGTTATCAATCTCAGTGTAGTTTTTTGCTTTAACCATGGAACTATAAACCACAGGAAGAACAACAAAACTAAGAGGATTAAAAAAACCTTGTGTCTTAGTTTATCTTACAGTGCTTTCGCTTTTGTTTCCACAACATTAGTCATACTCCATGTTAGTTGCCGTCGATACGCTCGTATGAACCACTTTGATGGGAACAGAAAACTTGAAGAAAAATTTTTTTTTACATCTGCGCAGTAAAATATTTCATCCACTGCGCTTGCGCAAACAAGTCGGTTTGCAGGGTGACCTTCAGTGTACCAGAAGTCGTGCAACGGGTCGGAGTTTAGCGAGTTTTCATCATTTTCAATGTAGTTTTTGGATTACTTTTTGTTTTTTTCAACCCTCGAAAAAATAAGGTTGCGAAAGTTTGCGAAACATGTTTGTTGTAGAGGTATCTCGACTTATTCCGTGTTTCCCTTCGATCACCGGAAGTGGCAATGTGTTTTTTTTTCCTGTTGAATGTTGCTCATTCATCAGAGTTTGTGTTGGCGCTATTGTTTTTTTATGCTATAACCAAAACAACTCGATTGCGTGATCTCCCGAAGTCGTCCGATTGACTTCGAAAATGACTGATTGTCGGAGATTAACGTTCATTTACGTAAACTGGCTTATTTTTTAATGCGACGAAATAAACAGTCAAAATAAACATTTAACATCGCGGCATAGTTCAAATGAAACAAAGTGGTTGTTCTTTCTGTGGTTCATAGTTCCATGCTTTAACAAAGCCATTGCTAAATTATTTCATTGCCACAGCAATTATAAGAATGGCTGTTGCTATTCTAGTTTGTGTTTATTCATTTGTTTGTCCAAATCAAACTTTTTTGAACAATTAATCACATTACATAATAAGCCTGTACAAAGAGAAATCCAGACTTAGTGAATAATTATTTGCATATTGATTTAGTTATCCAATACTTGTGTAAAGGGATCGAACCCGATGCTAACATTTGGCACTCAGAATTTCTGACCAAAACAAAAAGTTGCTGGACCAGCACTATTTGTTTATGATACACACAGGATGTCAGCCACTGGACCATCATTCTCATGTCTTTGCTGGTTTCCTTGCACAGTAACACACTTAGAAAATTAACACAGGCACCACTATTCAAAATCAACAAACTTGTGACACAGGCCTGATGTGTTTTTATTTTAATCTCCTGTTGACATTCTGACTAGATCAAAATAAGTTGTACATTAAGATAATGCAAGAAAAGGCAGTGATAAACAAACAGAAGGAAGTTTTACCATTGCAGTTTAAATCTGAAGAATTTGTTGAGTTACAGAAAACCTTGCTGACAGGGATGCGTCAAGCTGTCGTTTGTTTAATTTACACACAGTCCCTCTATACACTTGCACTTAAGACAATAAGTGTAGTAAGCGTCAATGACTTGTTTATAAAATCCAGAACCTACGAGTCAGTGATCCAAGGAATACTTATTTATGTGGTTTACCAGCATTGCATTAGTTAAGAAAACAGAGTTAATTTTTGTTCTCACTTTGGCCATCACAAACTAAGAACTTTCATTGAAAAACAAAAATGGTCGACAGGCGAGAGTTCAATGATTCAAGATGCACTTTATTATCGCAATCGCATTTAAAATGCATATCTATTCATTTTTATCTAAGCAGATTAATTTTACATTTGAAAAATTTATAATAAAATTTAAGTAGTTAAATCAGTAACTCGTGAAAACACAAACAATAATTAGCTCATGAATATTTATTAGTGACGGGAACTTGATCCAGGCATGACAGAACCCTGCACCAGAGGTAATATTAAGATTCTCCTAGTGTGACATACTTGCTTCCTATTTATTGAAATGTTTCTCAAGTCACTAAAAGATAGACAAGTTTTACTGATAGTTGATACAACCAGTGGTCATGGTGGTTCTTTTGTAGCCCAGGTTAATCAAATTAGAAAATACAGGGATTATCACCTAGATAGTGCAGCAGACATTCTGATATCATTTGTTGTTTTCCAGAGTTTCCCTCTTCTATGTTGCGCAGACTATGAATATTATTAATCTGAATATAGTCTAAAATTTCCTGTGCCCTTCATGTAAACATGTTAAATTTTTTTTTCAGAATCATTAAAAAACATTTACCATGAATCCTGAGAAGCTACAAAGGTTACAGGCACAAGCTGCCCAAGTGCGAATAGGTGGCAAGGGGTCTGCCAGGAGGAAGAAGAAGGTTGTACATAGAACAGCAACAAATGATGACAAAAAACTTCAAGGTTCACTCAAGAAATTAGGCGTAAATAATATACCTGGTATAGAGGAGGTAAGGAATTGGTATCTCAAAGTATTGGCTTGTATGGTTAAACTTTAACTCCAAAGTCATCTTTTTACCTATTTTTACAAAATAAACTGGTGTTCAAAGGATTAACTGTTCATTCAGTAATTACTGTTGTCGCTATTTGTTTCATACACTGAGCTCCCTATTTTTATCACAAAATAGTCCCGTTTATAGTCTGCAGAAAATTGGGACAAAAATAGAAAAAAATGTTGACTTAAATTTTGTCTGTTGGCTCTAAAATTGGGATACATTTTCAGAATATTAAAAAATGTAAGAAAA